GGGTGTGCATATAATACATATGAATCTTAGTATGGAAAAACTGTACTATTTAATTTATATACCTGAATTTCCTATATACTTGCATTTAGTTTATGACATTTTGATATATTACATTCAAACTTTATGTAATTTAAATTGAACATAATAAAATTTTTTACCAAATGAACTCTAATAAAAACATAATTTTTAGGAAGCTGAAAAAAATAAAATAAAATAAAATAAAATAAAATAAAATACTGATCCTCTAACAAACACACACACAAAAAAAAGCTAAAATGTTTGTTTTGCTGCTTTTGTTCTTTTCATCTTTTAAGTTTAATTAAGATATACTATGTTTTCAGACTCAGGGTTTCCTCTCATGGCGATATTTTTAGAATAGATTTAATTTCGCTGTGTTTTCTTCCTTATTTATGTATTTACTTATAGCATTGGAGCTTGAACCCCAAGGCACTCTACAACTAAGTGACACTCCCAGCACTTTTGAAAAAAAAATAATTTTTAGAAGAAAGGATTCAAACTTGAAGGCCTCTTGCCTCAGCTCTACTCAGTACTGGGTAAAATTATAGGGATAAACCAAAGTGTGTGGCTCTTTTCTAATTTCTAGTCAAATGTTAACTTGAGTATCTTGTAGGGAGTGAATTAAAAAAATCTGGAGGGTGAAAGTTGTGCTGCAAATTATGTAGACTGTTTAAGAAGCAAATCCTTGTCTTTTATATACCTAAAAGCAATAGGCATTTAGGCAGAATGTTTTTCAGCATAAAAATATCCAGTTTCCAAATGACTAGAGTTTTAAAATATCATAAAACCTCAAATAAGACATGTATCTTTATGCACATGCATATACTGACTACCAACTGCATACAAAATACGACAGCAGAACAAATGTAATAAAACATGAGCTCTGTTCACAGAGAAAATATGTCCCCTTTTCAAAGGTCTTCCTTTTAATAAGCACATTTTAATGGCATGCCTTCAACTTTCTTTTAAAAACTATTTTAGCTTTTAAAATAATTAGAAGAAAATATGTTTTTAGTTTCTGATGCTACACACATCTAATAATAGATATCTCTGTTCCTAAGGATGAAAGTGACTGTAAAGTTCTCTTTCCCCACTAAAACATTATCATTCACTGAGAACTGAGCCCTCTAACAAAGATGATGCTAAAGGCCATGCTATATGCTTTCGTGAGGTTGTATGAAGAAACAGGATCAGTTGGAGGTACCAGGCAGACGTGGTATTCCTTGACACCTGGAACATTTATGAATTCTGGTGCTTTTATTTATTTTATTTTATTTTTATATATTTAGTACATGGTCTATAGCGTCTTACTACACAGATCAGACTCACCTGTATTCAGCCTCCCAAGAGGTGGAATTACAGGCACGCGCCACCATGCCCAGTCGCAATCGCCATCTCAGCATACCCCAGAGGCAGGGCTGACATGGTATGCCAGGGATTGAACCCTGGTCCCTGCACCTGTCTCAGCAGGCACTTTAATCCACTGAGCTATCTGGCCAGCCCTTGACTTCCGTCTGATGCTTTTAACTTTGCTTCGTGGAAGCATCTTTCATGGTAAGCAGATTTAAAACTGTTGAGTCACTGGCTGGGCCAGATGGCACAGGCCTGTAGTTTGAGGACTCAGGGAGCTGAAGCAAGAAGATAACCACCAATGCAAGGTCATCCTGGCCTACATTGTGAGTTCAAGGACAGCCTGAACTGCACAGTGAAAACCTGTCTCAACAAACAAAGAAACAAACAAAAAACTGTGGAGCACCTTCCACATTGTAAGCTTAATAATTCAATACTTTGAATTTATTTCCATTAGTCAAATTATCTAGCCCAGTTCTCAACACATTATGATAAAGCTTTGAATTCTAGACCAAAAATCATGTCTTAGCTTGCCATAACATGCAAGTTATATCTCAATTTAAAAAAAAAACAATTTTATTTTGTTTAAAATTCATGTATTTTTGCCCCAAGTTTGATCCTTATTACTGAAGAAGTAAACCATAACTAGAATGAAACCAAAAATAGAATTAAATACAAAATTTCTTTAAGTTATGACCTAAGTATAAGCATCAAGTTAGAATCTGCAAGCATTACACGGCAACAATCAGAGATGCTCAGCGCAGAAGAAATGTGTGACTGCAGAGAGTAGTCTCCCTGGGAGACTGAATACCTTAGGTAGCCCAGTTGTTCCAGATGTGTAAAGAATATACAGAGGATGCTCTGAAAGCACAGGAACACAGTCATGGGACTGGGCTTTTGCCATCTCTTCTTTCCAATCAAGGTCACGACCTGGCACCAAAGGAACTTCTTCCTGTACAGCCAAAATACAGAAAGCATACACTGAAGAAAGTCAATTAAATCAGGAGCACAAAAGAGAGACTCTAACCTTATATAAGTCTGAACATCTGCCTGAAGATCCATACACGTATGGTACTAAACAGTGGATTCATGGCTAAAAATCTCAAGGTTGCGAGTTGAGATAAGTGTTTACAAGTCCCACTAGTGTGATGTGGGCTTTGACTGAATTGACAAGAACATGTTTTATTCAGGTCTAGGGATACACGTAAGAAATTTAATCTGGTACAGTTATGTTTCCATCAACACTCAGGGCTTAATTAACGCTAAGGTTCATAGATTCACATGCCCTAAGAATTTATACACTGAGCTCTGTTTTGTTTTGCATCCTATTTCTTTTGCTTTAGAAGCTCTGTCTTCATGAGGAAATGTTGATTAACCTATTAAGTTTCTCTTCATAGAAGGGCAGTTGTAATACTGTAGCCAAAAAACAGAATGTCAAATTATCTGCCAGGCTACAGGAAAATTTTACTCTTGCTTTTTCAAGAACACTGACTGACCAATTTTTAAAATCATTGCAATATATACAAAGTGCTACCTAAATTTGCCTCCTTCTGGGTCATTAATTACTATGATAAAAATGTTTTTCTTTATCTGAGAACCAAACTTGGTGCTATAAATTTTGGGATAATCAAGGCATCAGTTAAACTGCTATACTTTAAATAAATTAAGCAGGTCTCTTTAAACACGTGGCTGTGAAATTGACACAAAGATGAACAGTAAGGAAAGGACTTAAGGAAAGTTTATTATAATGAAGAGTTACAACTGTCTAAGCAGAGTTAATATCCATTCAATATTTGACTGTTTTCAGAAACGTTAAGTTCAAGATCATGCATGCAGGGCTTTATGATCGATGAACATGTTAACAAAGGCAGGACTGGACTGCATGCTCCTTGGTGAAGTTAGTGAGGCCCACCAATCAAAAGGTCTGTAGTCCTTCACTCCACGGCGGTGATATTTAAGCAAAGCACAAAGTCTCTGAGATACTTGGAAATACTGAGCCTCTTTCCTCTCCATGCTCCCTAGTATGTTAAACAGTTTGTAAAACCTGCTCATATATTTACACAGGTATGCTTACAAATATATGTTTTAATCTAATATCATAAATGTGACACCTGCAAGAATGAACTCAACCATAGATAACAATCTGAACTGAAGACCTGAAGGTAACTTGTGAGGCCCAGGGGCTTCTCTAGCCCCACTCTGATTGGCACTAGCTGATGCCATCTGGATAAACAGCAAAAGTCAGCTATGAGCTGATCATACTTTCACTTATTTTTATTCATCAGATAAAACAACTCAGTATAAAATTATCAAACTTTTTGACGTATTAATTAGAGTCCGACAAATATCAGCTCACTGCAGTGAAAAAGATGGATTTGGGATGGGGGAGATAGCTCAGTGGACTAAGTGCCTGCCTGGCAAGACCAAGGACCCAGGGTCAATCCGTGGTACTACATGTCATGCTGGCCCCAGAATCTTGGGCACAGTGTGCCAGGCAATGAAACTGGGTGTGGTGGCACACACTGGGGATGCTGAGACAGGAGAATCATTATGAGTCTAAGCAACATAGCAAGACCCTGTACCAAATAAATAAATAAATAAGAAAAAGAGGGGTTGGAATGATCACAAAAACTTACAGACCTGTGATTTTTATTAGTCTGTAATGAAAGAATGACTTGAATGAATGTTGACTGTTTAATGTAAGAATTGTAGATATGAATAAATAAGCTTTGACCAATTGAAGGGAGAGAAGAGGCAACATTAGCTTTTACCCATGCGCACTCACTTTCTAGTTCTTACAAATTTTTAAAGCACGTATTGAGCGCATCCCAGAGGGACTGATGCGATATTCTTTTTATGCTGTCCTTGCTTGCCAGAGGCATGGCAGTAGCAGCCACATCTTTACTTCCTCTGGCACAAAAGCAATCATTGTTAATGAGACGCATCAGCCTCCTAATTTCTGTCTCTCTAAACTCAACAGCAATCAATCAAGTTGGTTTAATTACTGCTTAAACAGTTGGTCGCACACCAATAGCAAAGGCATTCAAAGCCCTCATCTATGTCACAATAGAAGACCAGGCCTGGTGACAACAGGAAGAGGGACAGTAGCAAACTGACTGTGGGCTGGGGCTGAGCAGCAGAAGAGAGAGCACATCTCCTTTAAGAAGAAAGAAAAGATACTTACATTGAAAAAAATCTAAATATAACCTTATGTAAAGAAAGAATTTATATCATGTTCAAAAATTGTTGAAACTGAACTCAGTCCTAGAAATAGCACATATTCACTGGACTTTGTATTTTAGCTGTTTTATGCTTCATTTTCTTTTTTTTTTCCATAATTTTATTGAGAAACAAATAGCAATGAGACAGTTTCAAAACCGATTAGTAGAACAGATTCAATACATTGCATATTGTTGTCTTAGTGGTTATTCATTGTAAGATGCAGACATGATATCCTGTCCACAAACACTAACAGAATAAATCTTTCTATTCATTGAATTAAGAGAATATAGCTGTGTACCTATCCTAACTATTTTGAATATACAGATACCAAATGGTCATTCATTTGTATTCCCTTTTTTTGTTTAGTTTTGTCATTTAAATATTATAGGTGTGTGAATTCAGCAAAATATTCCAAAATAGTCCAGTTGTTGGATGAGTTTGTGAGAATTAACTTTTAGAAAACATTTGACAGTGCTTAGCATTGAGCTCAGCCAATGATAAATTCTTGATAAATTCTACACGAATCCACACGTATAATCAGCATATGTACATTCACTATTTGTTGCATATGTTGTCTTCATCCCACTGTCCTCTCTTACCTAAGAACATTTTTTGTTGTTGATTTTGTATTCCTTAATTGAAATAGCAATAAAGTCATTTTTAAAGAACTATGCTTGTGAACATTGGAAAAAAACATAAAATTCTTCTCCAAGACAAGCACAAACACTAAAATAATTGAGTGCAGCAGTTTGTGAACTGTGGACTGCTACATCTCTACCTGGGAATTTAATGTGGGAATGGAAATTGTTAGGTGCTAATCAAAATGACAGAGTTTCAACTCTGTTCTCGTAGCCTGTCATTTAAGTACTTCCTCCAGATAACATCTCAAGAATTTCACAAAGTGTACATGATTCTTTGCACTCATAATTTCTCTTTCACAAAAATATTTTATTTTGAAAAGATCCCAATTTGGCCCCATCATAAATAACTGAGGACTTGCTGTGGTGTAGAAAAGTGTGGCCGTCAGGTCAGTGTTAGTAGAGTGCCTTAACAACCAAATAGTAGGCAGTTAATACTATTTCTTGATATAAATAAAAAACTCAAAGTAATAAATAACACTGCAAAGAAGTGAATTTATTAATATTATTGTATTTCTATATTCCAAGTGTTATACTTTAAGCTAGTTCTTCATGATGATAGTAAGTTTTATTTATATCTTTCTTCCTGAGAAATAACACATCCAGGATGTATATTTAACAGTTTTTCCATCAAGTATCCATTTCAGTCAAAACTCAGATCATCTTGACTACAATACCTTAAACAAGAACCAAATTAAATATTGAGGTTACCATATTCGGACGATTATAGATGAGCACTTTATTGGGTTTGTGTTGCCCTATTTGTAGGGCTTCTTCTATAAGCGGGATGTACTCTACTTTCCGTCCGGGTTCAATGCCAAATGAGGCTGTTACGAGCACCTTGGGCTGAAATGAAAAAAAAGAGGGAGGGAGAAAAACGATTTAACCACCCTAATTGAGTTAATCACAATATTTGAGGCACAGATTAGCAGTTTAAATGTTAGACTAATTTTGTCCTTCATTGAATAAGTCATCTGAAAACCAATAAACCCTTTTAAAATGTTACAGAATTGATCATTACCACATATTCTCTTAACTGTTCAAAATTAGGTACTCAGTGATGTTTTGAACTCATAGATACACTCAACAAAAAATACTTTCTGGAGGATTTGTTAAGCCAGGTCATTGTGATCCAATGACGTGTAAACCTTTTGGCTTCTCAGTAGCAAAGCTACATGCGCGGGCCCACACACAAACACACACATGCATGCACACAAACATGAACACACACACATGCGCGCACACACACACACACACACACCCTCCTAAGAAATGGACCTTGCTGAAGTTGTAGCTGTTTTACGGGAAGAGTACTCATTTGGTAGCAATTTGAGAAGAATTTCTAAGACACTCTGTATGAGAGTTTCTTTTAAATGCCTAAAGAGTTCACAGAAAGAATAATTCTTTTTAAGCTGTTTCTTGTTCTAAATACACATTCATGTTCACAAAACATTATGTTTGCAATTTTAAAATTCGGAAAGGATGCTCCAATGAGTTAAGCTTTATGACTGGCAAAGCCTGGCCATGTCTGCATCATTAAGATACATTCAGCAAACTATTGAGCCCCACAACTTGCTGATCTTTCTTTTATTTAATGTATTTAGGACGAGGTCTACAGGGTCTCACTACATAGACTGGACTCATAGTGATCCTCCTGTTTTCAGCCTCCCAAGATCTGGGAATACAGGCATGTGCCACCACGCCCAGTCTTAATCACCCTCTTAGCACACCCTGGGGGCAGGGCCTGCACAGCAAGCTATGAATTGAACCCTGGCCACTAAGCTCTGCCTAAGCAGGCATTTTAGTCCACTGAGTTTTTGGCCGGCCAGTTCTTCAAAACATGAAATTGTGACACCTCTACTACTGCACTGTGGACTGTGGTTCTCTAAAGTCAAGGTTGGGCATCGTTTATTTCTGTGGTTCTCCTGTCTGCTACAGTGGTTGGGATGCCATAAGCTCTTAAGAAAAAGCATGGAACTGAACCAGGCCAGGCAGATAGCTCAGTAGAATAAACACTTGTCTAGCAAGCACAAGGTCTTGAGTTCAATCCCCAGTACCGGAAGAAAAAAAGAAAAAAAAAACATGGAACTGAAGCAAAGTGCATAGCAATTTGCAGGAAAAAAAATGTCTTTATTAGCTATCCCATGGTATTTCTTCACAAAGAAATCCTTAGCAAGGAAACATAATAAAATTTCAAGAGATAAATAACCAATCTATATTTCATCTATCCTTGAATTCTGATTTTGGGTTACTAGACACTTCATCTGTGGAAGATTTGTACTGTGCCAACTATATACACAGAGTTTTTTTGTTTTACAAATATCATTGAATAATCATGGAATGGAACTCAGTGCAGTTATACAGCTTGGCTACAGGAGGCAAATGCAAAAGGAGGGCCAGATCCGACTGCGGGAGCTTTTTCTTTCTACTACAGCAAGCCACCCTTTAAAAGGAAGAAAAGAAAGCGAAAGGAAAAGTAAGTTGCATTTCTTTTTATTTTGGTCTAAAGAAAGAATTTGAATATAATATGCATTTTAATACCTGCAGTACTTGCAAAATATCTCTAGATAACAATCTCTAGGATTAGAACGCTAAACTAAATGAAGGGAAGGTTCATTATCAAATTGCAAACATATGGAATCCACCATGTACAAAATATCTCCTGAAAAAACAGTCTGTTCCAGCTTTCCATTAATAACATTTCATTAGACTTGGGGTCCAACTTAGTTGTTAGAAAACATCCTTTTCATTTTATTGGTTATAATGAAAATATTTTCTATAGCTATTTATTTAAAATTATGATATAACATAGACTTCATTTATTATATTTCACATGTGGGTTTCTACTTCCATTTTCCCTTCTTAAATTTCTCTTGCTAGTAGGCATTAATGATAAAAGTATGCATTTATTGAAGAGGCTTCTAAAACAGGTTACACAGCTGTGAGTATGCCTGTTATAAATGAGAACTCCTGTCTCTCCATAAATATGTTTCATTTCTTCAGGTCTTTTAAAAAGCTTTTGAAAGCAAAATAACACATCCAATATCTTGGTCAGAATTTCTGGAGTCCATGGTTTCAGAGAAGTCATCAGCTTTGCACTCATTTAAAAACAAGTTACAGACTCATAATTCCTCCTAGATTTTTCATAAGCATTAATATATTCATTTTATTTTATTTTAAAGAGTAAAAAGAGGGCTGGTGAGATGGCTCAGTGGTCTAAAGCACCTACTTAGAACAAGCATAGCAAAGCACAGCGACCACGATTCAATCTCCCAGCACCACATGCCAGCCCGCCCCGCCCCCTTGTGGGCTGAGCTGGCCACACACACACACACACACACACACACACACACATAAATAAATAAAATTTTTTTTAAAAAAGAGTAAAAGCAAAAACAAAGACAGAAACAGAATAACTTACAAAAGTACATATGGTACAGAATTTGAAAACAAGAATAAAAAATTAACAATGATTGTTATATATATTTTATCATCAAACCTGTTACTCAGGTTAGCAGATAAAGATATGCAAGATTTGCCAAATAATTAAACATTAATGCTTGCTTTCAATAAACCTTAATTTTTTTCTTGTCCTTTTTACTTTTAAATTTAGTTTAAAGATAATATAATAATAATTCATAAGACATTAGAAATAGTACACATTTAGAAGAACAAGAGGAGAGGTATTCAGCCATGGTTTTTGTATTGCACATTGCTGTCTTTGATCATATGCATTAATTTAATATAATTTTTAAAAAAAGATTAGAGATAGTCAACTCACATCCTCCTACTGTTCATACCTAGTCTATAACCAGATGAAAAGAGATATCAACCAATGGGAGAACCTTCCATGTGCAGCAGTACACTCGCCCTGTTAAGAATGCTTTATCTGAAGCTTGGAAACCTCTTGGGGCAGCCATCTCCCTTTCCTGCAATAAACTTCTTTCCTCATTTTCCTTCAGTATATATATTAAAAATCAGGACATAAAAATATGAAACTCAAGTATTAGTTTTCTCTAAATATGCCAAATACATATCTTTATTTCCATCTTTAATGTTTGACCTGCCCAGTGGCCTTGATGATACAATTATGTATTTACTGACTGAATTTTTCAAAAGGCTTTTCTCATTCATAGCTGCTATTGTTCTGCAATCATACCATCTACCGCATGTTCTTACTTTAATCTCCACCCCCTCCTTTATGTCATTTAGAAACCTTTCCATTCTTGGCATTCCTTAGACCATGACACTCCTGCTTAAAATTTTTCATTGATTTGCCTACAGCTCACATAAAACCTACCTCTGAAGCTCACCCTTTCTCCCTTCTCTGCCACATCACTTCTCTGGCTTTTCTCCCAAAGGACTATTACCCTTCTTCATCCTAGGCTTGACTCTTTCTCCATTTAGGGGAATCCACTAAATCATTCTATTAAACTACATGAATCTTAGCCAAGGTTTTAACTCAAGTTATCTCCTTTCTCAGGAATCCTTCTTTAGCCACCCAACCAAAAAGAAAGTTCACAGTCTAATTAGGGATCTACCTCCTCTACTTAGGGATCTGATTCTGGTATAGTCTTATTCAGACCCAGACTTATGTGTCTGCTGATGCATTTTCTAAAGCTGTGTGTTACAGTAGCAGAGCTGAGTGGTTACCTAGAGAGACTTCTTTTACATAGAACCCCCCAAAAATGTTTGATTAATGCTTACACATCAAAGAACAAATGTATCCTATTTGTAATGAAGAACAAAAAGCAAAAGCATTTTGATTGATTTCTCCATAGATTAGGATGGCTATTCTATGGGGAGCCACCTCTTGACTTCCCCAGAGAAAGCACTTACCTTTGAATGATCAATGCGGCTACTTAGTTCTTTAGATGCAAATCCTCCGAATATGAGACTGTGGATAGCTCCTATCCTTGCACATGCCAGCATGGTATACATTGCTTGAGGGATCATGGGCATGTAGATGACCACAGTGTCACCTTTTTTGATACCGTACTTGACCAAAACACCAGCTAGTTTAGAGACCTGTTAAAAAGATCATTAGGTCAGCAAGGGTACTCTATATTAGTTCACTAAACCTACAGGTTAAGACAGTAACTTCAGGAAGTGATAACCACCCCCCTCCTCCTCTTGGTCCCTTCGCCATTCGAGAAAGATCTCTCTACTTTTGTTATCTATCTCTTATTTAGTTCATCATTTATATCTTGGGTTTCTGATATGAGTAATCAAGCAATATTTAAGCTCATGTACCTGATTTATTTATTTTAACATTATAGTCTGAAGATGCCTCAATTTTCCCGTAAATGGCTAAAGCTTATCTTTCTTGGTAGCGGAGTAGTACTCCTCCATATATAAACACATTTTTGTTATCCATTCATCTATTTTGATGAGCTTATAAGCAGTTTCCAAGATTTATCTATTGTGAAATGGGCCACTATACATGAGTATACATGTATCCTTGTAATATGATGCCTTCAACTCTTTCGGGAAGATACCTAGAAGGGGAATGGATAGGTTAGATGGAATTTCTAGTTTTATTTTTTTTGAGAAATCTCAATACTGGTTTTCATAATCCTTATTCTGGTTTTCATTTCCACCAACAATATTAAAGAGTTCCTTTGTTTTGTTTCTTTAATCCTTCTCATTATCTGTTATTCTATTCTTGATGATAGCCTTTCTTTCTGGAGCAAATGGATTCTCAGTGGCTTTAATTTGCATTTCTCTAGTGGCCAGAAGAGTTGAGTATTTTTTATGCATTTATTGATCTTTTCTATTTCTTCTTCTGAGAAGTTTCTTTTACTTAAGTTGTCTATTTCTGATTGAATCTTTAATTTTGGGGTGTCTAATTTTTTGAGTTATTTATATATTCTAGATATCATTCCTCTTTTCAAGGAATAGTCGCCATTTTCCCCATTCTGTGTATTATGTCTTCAGGGCCTTGCCTTACAGTACTTGTTCTTTTCACTATTTAAAAACAATTATTTTTCCTTATATATTGTACATTATTTTCTGTACAGTCAGATTATGGGTCCAAAGAGGAAAGTGATTGATGATGTAGAGTGTGCCTAAGGAGAGTCACATGGAGAGAAAACATTCTCTTAGGATTTCACAGAGAGCACATTGGTCAAGCAATGGCTGTGACTCATCCACATGGCTGACACTGACAAAGGATCTACAATCTGAGGTACAGGATCTCAGGATAAATCCTGAGGGGATTTCACTGACATTATCAGACCCAAAAGCTGCATCTCTTGTTACATAGGTCCTGCTTTACTTTGGTCTTAGCCATCCAGCAGAAAAGTATAAAAATGAAATATAAGAAGTAAAGCCATGCTGTTATGTTGAGCTGTAGGGGACTCAGGTCAACAATTTCTGACATTGCCAGTCAAGCGGAAGATCCAATGCTATTACAGACTACTGGACTCTTTTAGAATATTTTGCTAAAAGTTTACACACTTATAATATTCAAATAACAGAACTTAACAAAAAAGGGGATACAGATGAATGTCCATTTTGTATCTGTGTATTCAAAGTGGTTAGGATAGATATATAGTTACATTCCCTTAATGAATAGAGGGATTTGTTCTAATGGTGTTTGTTAATAGGATATCATGTCCCATCTTGTACAGCAATTAACCACTAGCAAGAATGTATGCAATGTGTTAATTATTGAAACTGTCCTACCAATTTGATTTGAAACTGTCTCATTGCTATTTGTTTCTCAATAAAATTATGGGAAAAAAAGTCATTCCCTTTCAGACCAACACACACAAATTTCTTTTTACTTACAATGTATTTTTAGCATCAAACATACAAATGTCCCTTTCCCCTTAACATGAGCTTTTGCAGTTTCTAGGTGTGAAATCATACTAGATCATAAGCCCACAGATTATATAATTTGTTTCAAAAATCACTCCCGCAGGACAACTGTGGCAGGCCATTAGAATTATGCCTAGATAGAAATAATTCAATATTCTTTTACTTAAAAATGTTTTTTTCAAGCATGTCATAGTCATAGTCATAGTCATAGTCACCTATTGTCACAGTGCTGTAGGATAAGGAGGTAGATGGGTCATAAATTCAAGCCCAGCTTTGCAATTTGTTGACTTTGTGGCATGCTACCTGGGATAAAAAATAAAGAGGGATGGAGCTATGTCTCTGTGTGAAGGCCTTGAGTTCAGTTTTCAGTACCACAAAAAAAAAATCATTTAAAAGTCTTCTAGGGCTGGGGACATAGCTCGGTGGCCTTAGCGCCTGCCTGGCAAGTGCAAGGCTCCAGGTTCAATCCCAGGTGCTGCATGCTGTGCCCCCCTGGAATTCAGGGTGTGCCATATAAAACCCAAAACTTGGCTTGGTGGTACATTCCTGTAATCCCAGCATGGGGGAGGCTGAGACAGGAGGATCCCTACAAGTCTGAGCTACACAGCAAGACCCTGAACCAAGTAAATAAATATATTTTTTAAAATCTTCTAAATATTCTTTCACATAAAAGAAGGGGGTGGGCTTTAGTAAGTTCTCCCCTCCAAGCAAAAAAACATAAAATCATGGGATGAATCATCTTAAAAGATCACCAATCTTATCAAAGAGGGTAGTGAAGCAGAAAAATGGGTCGCAGAGAGCAGAGGAGGGGAGGATGTCATGCTCAGTGGGAAACCAGGAAGACTGCACTGAGAAAACAACATGATAGCAAAGACCCTTACAAGGTTTAGAGAAGTGGAAACTTCAGTACAGCTGTGTAAGCAGAATGAGGGTCATAAGCGACTCTTCCTAGCAAACGTAAGGAGTACTTGAAGCTGGTGACATGGAGCTGCCCATAAGCTCGCTTCTCACAGGCCTGTAGGAGCCCGTCTGGGGACTAGAACTCCAGCCTTCTTTGGAACATGACTGTCCAAGATAATGAATAGAGAA